TAAACGCGCCCGCGAAAGAAGGTTAGTCTTTACGGTATTGGGGGATTATTCATGCTGAGTAAAAATTAACTTTATTCAAAATGTTGGAGTTTTGTTATTCAGTTGCAATGTAAACTGGTGCCGTTGACTTGTATTCAGCTTGTGAGGTACTGGGGGGTTGATTCTCACGTAACCAGTTTAAGGAAAAAGCTCTTTCCTTCGGTATTTTCTGGTTCTTTTATTTGTCCCCAACGAATTCCACGGTAATCGAGTAATCGGACCTCATGCATTCTGACAATCATCATCATCGTACAGCGAAATACAGTGAGGCGAACTTCACTGCTCGCTGCCAAACATTCATTCTGACGGCCCAAAGAAGAGCAGCACAAGATCGGCGGCCTTCCGGTTACTCGAATATTTTGCTAGCAGCGCTTTGCAATACCTGGCTATTTGATTCGAACTGTTATACCACCACTTCGCTCCTTGTGTCACTGATTAATCGATTGCATTCTGAACACACTCACGAACAACAGATGAAGTCAAGTTCCCGTTACACTTGACAGTAAGATTCCTTATTTCAGTAAAATGCGGCTGAACCCTCTATTCAAAAGAATCCAGCTTGAATGGATGACTAACTTAGACTATCTCAGCTGACCTGACACGCCAATGTGTTGCCTATTTCAGGTGAAGAACATCTACGTGCCGTGGAAGAACGCATGAATGAGTTACAGCGTTTGCGCGACAATTTTGCCTCCAAGCTAGCCAAACAAGTAAACGATACAGTGCTTCGATTCGCCATGCAATTGAGCTTCGTGATGCACGCACAGAACGCCGCACCCGGAGACAACGCATCCGAGCGTGGTAGTCAAATCAGTCTGTCCCAAGCTCTACCAGGCCCCGGAGTTCGTAGTTCGTCCGAGTTGTACAAGGTGCAACGTAACGAGTTGTTACAATTGGCCCCGTTGGTCGGAGGTTGGTTACAAGTAAATCGTCCGGATATCTATGCGGAGCTGAAGAAAGTGAGCCCGTCAGATCTCGTTGATTGTTACTCTCGCTCACATGTATTTTTCAAATTATTTTTGTTCTTTCCTCTTGCTGTTTGATTAGAGTGGCTCCGATTCTCAGGTGCATTGGTTTGCACACGCACCACGTACTCTGTTGTTTACAAGGTTATTCTTCTTGCAGTGCCTGATGCCTACTAAGACAAGGCACCAGATTCAGTCCACATAGGTCTGTTTGATCCCTGGTGACTGATCGTAACAGCAACTTCCTGGTATCGTGCAAGCACGTTTTTAGTTCAGCAACCCCCGGCCGCACTATCAGACATTCTCTCTGCGGTATTGCGGTCAAGAATTTCCGTTTTGCAAGCACGCCGACTTCTTTTCCAAGCCAACCCTACTTCCTCCACCGTATCCCACATGTATATTGAAAAGGAGCTGAGGGCTGAATGATACTATTGATTGTAACTTTTTGGTTCAGGCTAGGACGAGTTGTCAAAAAGTAGTGTGTATGCGAATGAATTGATTCTGCTCATGTTCCACTGGTTTGTTTTGCACCTGTTTGTTCATCGACCCCGCATTTCTCATTGATTGTACAATCGTTGCATAATGTTTATCGATTTTAGCCTGACAATGAAATGAGGTGATCGAATAGAGCGCATCAAAGATTAGATGTTCTTCCTTCCTGCTTCGTTTGCTTCTCTGCCTCGAACCTCGTGATCTGTCGCTCCAAAGGTGTGACTACGGATCAGTGCGTCGTGGCGGAAGTGTGTTCTTGGCGGCAAGCACGCCTGTCTCTTTTACGTTACGTAACGTTGGTTACAGTCTGACACAGAAATGCATACACCATCCCTGATCGGCCATGTGATCCTACGTGGTCCTTACCGTTGAACAAAATCGACCGTAGTTTTGTAGATTTGTGGGCAACAGTATTACCCAAACATTGAAGAATGCGGCCGACAGTTCCTGACACTCCACGTATCTTCTGTACTACGAATTTCGTTTTTGTTCTTTGGTTCTCTTTTCCCCTTAAGGAACAATTCGAGCAAAATGTTCGGGTGCATTCAATCCTGTGCTATGTCTCACCAAGGGTGACGCACACATGTAGCTGTTCACCAAATGAACAACCAAATCAAGTCAGAGTCTTGTGAAGAAGGCGCGTTGATGCCAGCAGTCCAAGACATGACAATGAGCAAGCGCCCGCCCGTCAGGTTGAAACATAATGTGTTGTAAATGTTCAATGAGCCAGGTGCAAGTTATGGTTATGTAGAAAAATCACCTGGTATTTTGAGGACAACTGCTTTATCCATTCGAACGATTATCGGAGAATATGTCGACTCGAATACATCTCAGTAAAGATGTTGCCTGAAAACCGACCACTTGTTCGAAGCTGTTAATGAAGAGATCTTGGTATGGTTTACCACTGTGAGGTTAACATATGGTGAGTTCCCAATGGTGGAAATCATCGTTTCCAAGGTGATTGACCTATCACAAAAAAGCGTCTCCGAATGTTGGTTTCGCTCTTGGTCGGACAGATGTGGTATTGAATCCTACAAAGTAAGAAACTAGAAATGTTTTACGGTACTACGTGATGCGTTGGACTAATTTTGAGCGGATTTGCCGCAGTTGATCCATGGATATGCTGATAGTGATATTGTCATTACTGATAAGACAACTTTATCGTACGAGCATCTCCAAACAAGAACATTTAGTTTCAAAGGACAACAGATTATGGAGCCAAGAAATCCAAGGAGAGTGTCACTTTGTTCAAGCGTGACTGGAGAACAGTTATCACTGATGTGGTATTCCAAAGTTGTCCGTCCGATATCAGCTGCAGCATGATTTTCCAAGGACGCTCTATTTTACCATTTGTGGTTAATGCACCTCGCCATAACAAAGGTACAGCATTCTTCAGTTTATAATAAACATTGCTGCCTCCAAACCGCTCTTCAATGTTACAACCAGGATACGGCTAGAGATCAGCTAAGAAAACAGACGATTTATATTTAAACTACAAATAAATGTTTGTACTCCACACAGGTTTCTTCTGTACTACTGTGGTCATTTTTTACTCTCACCAAAGCCACGACCATGTTTGCGGCCCTAAGGTTCGTCTCGCCCATAGTTAATCCACGGGCCCTGTCCCGCTAACGTAGCTGTACACACAGGTGAACGATAATCGCGATTGACCTAGATGGTGAGCCGGGTGTTGAGTTGGATGATACATCCCTAGTCGATCAATAACCGCAGTTCCACTGACGTGCGAATTTTTCTACGATAATCATTGACGAAGATGTATAGGTCACTGGCCAAAGGTCTTCGCAACCAGAATCTAACGTCCCTCTTAGTGTGTGTGAGCAGTGCGATTCTCCATCACTCACGTCGGTCACTGAGGTCATGACTAAGAACGGTGACAGTAATATCGACCAACGAATGAATCGATCGGTTTCAGCATACACCGCCATCGGCAAAAACGGACGGACTTACAAACGAGTAGATGTTAACATGCACCACGTTACACATTTTTCACCGGAAAAGCATGAAAAAATTGCGTAGCAATTTCTGGAATTTAATCACTTTCTCGAATTTTCTTGCATCCAGTTCCCTTGACAAATTTCATCACGGCGAGGAAGAACAACATTTCAGCAGGATAA